AAGAAATCCTTCTCAAGGAGAGAAATTCTATCCCAAAGGCAGGCTGGCAGAGGCCACTTAAAATCCTAAGGCAGTTCCAAAAGGTAGTTGGCCCATTCTGGGACTATCTTTTGTTCAAATCTCCCATGGTTTCGCATCCATCAGTATCATGAAATCACTTTTAGGATTAAAAACCCCTTGGATTTCTGTGTTCTCCCACCAACAATATCGTGGGAGATACACAGTTTGCTCACTCTGGCTCCGTTAATAACCTTCTCCTTTGCTGCCTTACCTGGAAAGGTGAGCAGGCGAGGGATGCACTCCTGCCCCTCGGGAGACCCCCAGCCTGGCAGGGGTTTAGGTTTGAAAGAGAATTTAGGGGTGAACTAAAGCAGCCCATGTGTGTCCATGCAGCCTTCCCGCTTGTCCTGGGGACATGGGACACTCCTCAAATCAGTGTCAAGTCCCACTGACCTCAGTGGGGCACAGAACTGGACCCTGGAGCAATGCAGCATCCCACAGCTGGCCATGGGATGGTACTGGCAAAACGGGTGGTGTGCGATTTGAGCTTCTGTCTTAGTTTATCAAATGGCTTCACCCAAAGGCTGTCCCTCTCTGTGTGTTGCAGGCCCTGGTGGGGCTGTGTCCTCAACCCCAAGAGCAGTCCCTAGGGCCATGTTTCACAGCGGTCATGACCAGAAGAATGTGATTTTTTGCATAAATGAAGCTGAGAGCAAATGTTGTTGTTCTGCTCGTCCTCCTCTGCTCCCTGACAGTGGGCTCAGCTATGGGTAGCAGCAGTTAGATTGTATACAAATACAAACCTTTGGAAAAAAAATCTACCCTTTGAGTTTAATTTCTATTAACACTGGTTCTGTGAACTGGCTCTGCAAGGACAGCTTCACCTCAGCCGCTCTGAGACCACAGGGATGGGCTTTACTGTTCTGCTTGGTTTTCAGTTTGCCACGGGAAGGAAAACTCAGAACAACTGGATGTGCCCCATAGCCAGGGAGCATTAACTCAAGTGTCCCCAGGGCCCACCGGGAGCCATGTTCCACCAAAACAGGTGATTGTTCTGGGCTCTGAGGGCACAAGAGCATGGTCCAAGGTGGCAGGGAAACCATGTGCCCCAGGAAATGGGTAATAAGGTGGCTATCGAGGAAAGTCAGCAAAATTAGAAATGATGGTGAAAATCAGTCATTGACATAACAGTAGAAATGTCTTCCAGTGGTTTCAAACTGTGGAGGTTAACGTGTAGTTTGAGGGAAATGCAGCCTTAACTCCAAGTTGTGACAAGTGTAGTGGGCACCTTCTGAAGTTTTAGTGCAGTTGCTTTTTAATTATCGTTCCCCCTCCTGCCCAACATTTTTCCAGCTTAATGATCTCAGAGCAATTTCATTACTTCTGGCTGTGGTGGTTACTTGAATGTGTAAAACCCTCCCAGCTGGTGGCTCCGGGCTGTTGTGCTGCTGTTGGCCTCCCCACCAGCAGGACTGGGAGTGGGACCAGCCTCCCCAACAGCAACACGCTCTGGCAGGTCCCACACAAACTCATCCAACTCCTGTTCAACTTTAAAGTGTGGATCCCTGACAAAGATCCCATCAGCTCAAACCAGAGCTGCCCTCAGCTTGTACTTGTACCACTATTCCACGCAACAGCCAGTGACCCCTCATGTCCAGACCTTTTGGGTTTCCAAAATCAGTGGCTGCACAAAGCCAACAGTGTGTGTTCCTCTCAGGTCTCTGTGCCTGTGTCCTCTCCTGCGGCCTTGTTCTCGAAGGTTGGGCAGCCCTCAGCTGCAGTCTGTGCCACTGACCTTTAGATGCAGCCCCACGAGTAGAAACCTCCTCTCTGGGGTGGGTGACCTCACCCACATGCTGCACGGTTGCTGGGAAAGGTGAAGGGTGTTTAACAAGCAAAGCTCAGAGCCTTGGCCTTTCTTTCCAAAGGTTAAGCTCCTGAACGGCAGATAACGACTATTGCCTTTGGTCCTTTTATGGCAGCTTTTAGATTAGGCTGTAGAAACAGCCCGTAGGTGCTTTAATGTTTAAAATTAACTCAGCCACACCAAGTGTCTCTTGGTGTGGCTGAGTTAAAAATAACATCATCTTCATGATGAAACCAAGGCAAAGAAAGCTGGAGGTGTTTGCTCGCGTTTGGCTGCTGAGTCATGATCAGGCTGGGGCTGGGGTCCTGCTCTCGGGCTCCCGGGGCAGAGGTGGGGCTCAAAGATGGCAGAGGTTGAATGTAAACCAGACTCCGTGCTAATGGTTGCTCATCAGCAACAGCCACACAGCTGTTTTGGTGCCCATGGACATGGCACTCTGGGGGGGACAGGGGCGGCAATGGTGTGTCTGCAGGAAGGATGTGCTGGAGCCCCATCCAGTGCTCCGTTGTGTCTTAGGGGTGAGACCTGGGAGCTCTCCCCAGCTGAGCGTCAGCTGGTGGCATGTGGCAGCCCTGCACAGAGAGGGGGTGGCATGACCATACGTCCTGACGGGAGATGCGAGGGAGTGGGGCAGGCAGGGGCATCCCCTCCCTGCCTGGCACAGGTATGGGTTGGTAGTTTTGGTAGCCCTGGGAATCGAGCAGCTCAGAGGGCTGCTTGTTGGCTTGCAGTTGGGGGAACTGAGGCACAGATCAGGCCTGTGAGCTGGCAGTGACAACATGGTGGGAGTGGGTTTGCTGTCCATGTGAGTAGTGGGGTGAAACTTGGTGAAAGCCTCTGTTGGTTTGGGGGATGGGACAAGCTGGAAGAGGTGGAAAAATAACTTCTTGGAGGGTCTGAGCTGCCTGCTGCCATGCTTTGAGCTCCCCCGCCTCTCCTTGGCATGGCTCTTTAGTTGTCAAGAGAAACAGCCGCTGGGTTTGCCGCCTGGCAGAACTTCAGGGCTCCGTAATCAGTCACACCTGCAGTGGCCTTTCTGGTGGCTCCGTACTTGACAGCAGACAAGTTTACGTGTGCACAAATTTGCAGATGACACCAAGTTAGGATGGGGCTGCCAGTACTTGTGGGAAGAGGGATTACAGTTTAACATTAATCTGATAAAACAGGAAATGATCTAAAGTAACTGCAAGGCAAGTCAATAAGGAGACAGGTAATTTTTCTTTTCTAAGCATATTACTTTAAGTGAAGAAATCCAAACTGTGAAATGACTGTCACAGAAAAGTCAATATATTGATAAATGAATATGAAAATTGGTCACTGAAATAATGGCAAAAACTTCTGTTGGTTCCAAACCAAGGAATTTGGTGCATGTTTTGAGAACAAAGCTGTCTCAAGTCAAGTTTTGACAAATGCAGTATTTTCCTGAGTTTTAGAATAGTGGCTTTAAAATTAAACCATCCAAATTTTCTTCAATTTAATTACTTCAAAGTGATTTCATTAGTTCTAGCTATATCAGTTAATTGCTTCAATTTAATGTGTAAAATTGTTCCCAGCAAAGGGCTCCTTAGATGCCAGAGCTCTCTCTCCAGTTGCCAGCAGAGGGCAGGAAATGATCGGTTTGCCGTGGCGGATGTATCAAAGGGCCGATCTACCGGTACACCCCTCTATTCATTTCCATTCTATTCTTATTTCACCGGAATAGCAATAGCCATCAGAGGCTTTTTTATATTTCAGCATGACTAAGGCATAACACGAAGCCCAGCGTAACAGCATCTAGCTCAATGTACACCTTCCAGTGACAAGAGAAGCTCCTGGAGACCTCCCAGTCAGGTCCTGGGCTTAAATATTCAGGTTAAGAAATCTAGGAAGGCTGATGGGTAACAAAAATTTAATTAAGTCTACTGTTGTTTGGAAGGGTGAAGGAAAAGTCTGATTTTTACACAGATCCTGTCCTGAGGATAAAGCAACACCAACTGCATTCTGGTCAATGCCACAAGCTGAGCTGATGCCCCATTCAGACTCCCACCAGTGCATGTTTCAGCTCTGGGATTAGCAGAGTTCTTTGAACTAATGGGGTGGGGAAAGGGGACAAAGGAGTTCCGTAGCAAGATGTGCTATTTTGAAAAACTTCTCAGACAACACAGGTTTAGGATTCTAAATACATTCTTGAACTTTTATTCCTCCCAGCAGATAAGCGGTTGATTAAAAACCTCAGTAGCAAAACCAGACCGAAAATATAAGTTTCACGCTTTCAGAAACAAATGTGCACTTGGTCAGATTTATGTGCAGAACTACAATTCACATTTCAACAGTGAAGATGCAAATGAGTAATGAGGAATTTGGGTTGGCAGTGAGAGCAAACTGCTGCATGTGTAACCATGGCGAATGTGCAACAAACACTGCAGGGCTGTTTGTTTAGGTGTATGCAATTTTGAGCAAAGAGACTGGGCCCAGTAGAAAAAAGTGAAACAATGCTGCTGATTTTGAAACAGTGTAAGCAGAAGAGAAAAACTGTATCAACAGTTAATGAAAGCTGTTTGGCACTTCCCAACTGAGGCTGCTTCAGCAATGTGCAATATTATAGAATCATGGAATGGTTAGGGCTGGAAGGGACCTCAAAGATCATCTAGTTCCAACCCCCAACTAACCTTTCTGTACCTGGATTTAGACTTGTAGACTTTTCTTCCTCATGTACACACTGCTTTTGCTTCCACTAGAACTTAAAAATTCCACTGGTAAATTCTGGAGTGTTAGAGACACTTCATGAATTAGCCAAAACAAAAGCTGCTATTTTCTAAGATTTGAAGCCAAAGTGCCAGCAAGAAACAACTGCCAATTACAGAAACCCCACTGCAACTGGCTTTAACCAAAGGAAAAAAACCCCAATGTTAAAACTACAATTTCAAATGCAGTTCTGTACTGTGTCACACAATCCCCCACTCCTCCAAACATGCTGTAATCAGTACTGTGGATTAGATACCTAAGCACAGGAAAAAAAAAAAATCCCATAAAATAGAAATCAAGAATTTCTCCAATGACAAAACCAGCAGTTTTCAGAGGTGCTTCCTTCTATGTGCAACATCTGCTTTTTGTCAAGGTATGCATCTTCTCTGGATTTATAATGTGCAAATCCCATACATTTATTCCAGTAAGATTCCCTTACTAGTGCTGAAAAAAATTCACAGTATAAACTGTCAAGACTCTCCATGCTGTGAATGAAAATATATATATTAAAAAAAAAAATAAAGTGCAATTCATTCTGTTTTGCAGAGTCATACAATGGCTCTGTACTTCAGCACACGTTTACAGCAGATTTCATAAGAAGATGACCTCCCTAGCAAACAGTGTCATCATTTCATGGCAGGTGTTTCTGCTTTTCAACAGGCTGCATGAGATTTACTATGCTGTACAATCTGAACGAAAGGTTCTTCATTCAGTCCAATGTCTGACACTTCTGGGTTTCCATCACTGACTAGTAACATCAAGCACAGCAGATCTGCAGTTTTATACCTAAACATGTAGCACAAGACGTGTCTGAAATCAGGAAGTTCACTCTCAGCTTTCATGCAGTCAGACTCCTGATAATTAAATCCTCTTTCTAATGATAAACTCACTGAAAACCAGGTCTGCTATAGCAGCTCTTGCTCATCATCTTCAGATCCTGAGGGTCCTTGTCGTACCTCCTCATACCATTTGTTTGTGAGAGTTTTCATCTGTATGCGTCCATGATGCAAGTCCTAAGGCAAAAGCAAACCAGAACAGTTTGTTACTTAGCTGCAACACTACTTGTGTGTCAGAGCAAAAGAGAAGGACTAGTTTAGCATACTCCTTAGGAGATAATCCACCCCTGGTCTCTAAACATCCAAAGCAATTCCGTTTCCTACCAGAAAATGTTTATCAAGTGTTCAGTCAGTAATTATTTCCATGGACGATATTTTTGATGACAGATATTTTTACCTGTTTTCTAGACAGTCTTGCTCTGTGGGTTTCAACAATTCTAATGCTGTCTGAATGGCCTGGCTTTGAATTGCGCTCCTCTCTACGCCTTCCCAGGGACACTGGGAAGCTTGTGGCCTGCTGTGGTGATTCACATACTTATTTTTCTAGCCTTTGGTTGCAATTTGCATGGCAGCCTGTGCTTTTGGCTACCAACTACGAATCAGATGCTTGCACTGGTTTCTTGATTCCTTTTTGGGTTTGCAAAAAATGTCTTTAGCTTTTGTAGGAAAGTGCTGAAAGCATTCTTTTGAAAAGAAAGGTACAAAACGAGGAAAAAATAGTATGTTTGAGCAGACTAGGAAGATGGAATGTGCACACTTTACACAAAATTATAAACTCCACAGCAAAAATGCTTAATTCTGTGGCAAACTGGAAAAAACAGTGAATTTTGTGGCTAAGGAGTCTCAGGTTTCTGAGGCACAGGAGCGAAGATGACACAGTATTTACACCTCTCAGAGCCACGCAGTGTTAAGTTACATGTTCAGTCAGGTGTCATTTTGCATTTACAGCTTCGAAGTCTCGGTCTCTAGTGATGTAGTCTTAAAAGTGAAGGTTGCAATGCTGGTGCATGTTTCCAATGTAAAAACTGCACTCTACAGAAAAATCACAGCTCCAGAATTCACAGTACTGTGTACAGTAAAAGGCAGTAACTTTGTGTGATGGCACTTTAAAATCCCTGCATGAGTGGCAGCAGCTTTTTCTAGCAACAGTAGTAACGAGTAACTCCTGATACTCTTCATGGTATTTTGCAAGATTAAAGGTGAGTTCAATAAATCCACACATCTTTTAAAGCTTAATTGTGGTAGCCCTGAGAGATGCTTGTTTAATCCAACCTGCAATTTTACAGTGCAGCTTTTCATTACAGCTGCTCTACATATGCCCAAGTAATATATTAGATGGCTCACTGTTCCTAATGTGGAAGTCGCATGGCTATGCTGGAGCCTGGAATGGTACAGAGTGAAGTAACAACCAACTCTACCACAGTTTCTTTTCTTCAAGAGAACAAGAAAGTCTTACTTCTTGTGTGAGTCTTCTGGTGAAGAAAGGATTCAAATACTTGGCATCAAACCACATAAACCCTTTGAGGTCCTGGCGTTTTATGTACTGGGCTTCATATTCCTCCTCTGTGAGCTCTGATAAATGTTCAGATTCTATGGTATTTCCCTAGAAAGATCACAAATATTGGAATAATTTGAGAAATGTGGCAGTCATCCCTCCAGCTAGTTTCAGCCCCCTGTTCTGTGCTCTTCCTTCTCGCAACCAATTCCTATGCTGGAACAATATGGAAATTACCACCCCAGCCTACCAGGGCTTATGGCTGTATGAGTCCATCTAGCTGTTGATTCCCAGAGCCACTTAGCTTCCTTTTCATGCTGAAAGGTGAAAGACCTCAAACGTTCCATATTTTGTATTGTTACTATTGCTGAGAACAGATTTCTAGTGTGCAGGTTTTCTCTTGTGAGCTGAACAATGATTTTATCCAGCAAGCAACACTGACATCATTGTCTCACTGAAAACAAGCCCTGTATCAGAACACGCCCTATGCCTGTGCTCTTCCTATATACATTTCCCGACAGGGACAGAGTAAGACAGCTCTGAAGACTCCAAGCTTTTTGAAACCTCATGCCAAGAGGAGCTGTTCTTCAGATCCTACAGAAAAACACCCTCCATGTATTGTTTGATGGTTTGAGGAAAAACAGGCAAATGTTTTAGGATACCTTCTGTACTCCGGTCTTTTGCACACGAGGTTTCAGAATCGCTGTTAGGTTTTTTTCAGTACTCTCTTGCTTAGCCAGAAATTGCTTTAAAATAAAGCTGGGCTTTATTTTAAACAACAGCTGGGCTGCTGTTGTTACCACCTTCTCATGGCCTTTGCTTTGACTTTTTCGAAATAATTCCCATCTGCCTTTTCATGATTAATTCATGACTCACACTGTACTCACTACTTTCCCTCTCTAAATGACTCAATCATGTATCATCTGCTTTATGCTTTTGCAGGGGTTACTTTAATTTGCATGGATCAATTTATAATTAGATTGAGTCAAGAGACTATTTCTCTTCCCTTTGTCCAAACAGTTATTTTGTGTAAACACTAACCAACCTCTGTCTTTGTTTTAATTTTAAAATTATATTGCATGACTTTTCTATTGCTTTCATTTTACTTTTTAGTAAAAAATAACATACTAGTATTGGAAAGTGTAGAAATTTTTAAAACAAACAAAGCCCAACAGTGATCTCCTGAATAAAAAACCCAAACAAACCATCTTCTCTGTCTTGCTAAGATTAACGTCCTTCTTGTTCCTCTTGCGTGCTTTGGAGTCCTCAATGTCGGTCAGTCTGATGAGGGGCATGGTTCCTCCTCCCAGCAGCAAAATCGTGAACAATACTATGATGATTGTTGTTGTCCCAATGAGCTGCCGCTTCTCTATTGGTTCCAAGCCCAAATGGAGGCTGAGGGCATAGGGAATTGCACCTCGTAAACCTTATCAGAGAGAACAGTAAATCAATGGAGAGTGAATCAACAGCTTCATTGTTCCTCAGCTCTCTGATAACTCAACAGGAATTCTCCATCTTTAAAGGATTTTTACAATCCTATACCATGTCTGTTTATCTATTGTTTGGTTACTACACTAGAACGAATCTGAGCTCTTCAGATACTGTTGTTCAAACTGAAGTTGCTAACCAAGAAAAGTAGACTCTTTGCAGAAAAGCTTTAGCAGGGATCACCACTGCATGGTCCTCTAGCGCAAAGGGGAAAGAGAACATATCTATTGCACTTGGGTTTGAGAACAGTGCAAACGTTCAGTTGAGTTTTGTTCCACAGACGGAAAAACAGTTCTTCCCAGAGTAACCCACACAATGAAAAAGATAAAACATTTTTTCCAGTCCTCCATACTTTGAGCTTTAACTTACCACTAAACCACATGATAAACATCATTTTGGGGGTGATTTTATGATCACGGAAAAAGTTGAGTAGGTAGGAAAGTGGGAAAATATTCACTGCTCTACCAAACAGAACAAGTATCTGAAAAACAGAAACAAGACCACTTGATGCATTACGTTCACAAAGGCCCCCAGTTGCACCTGGCTTGTACTTTCCACTCACAACTCTTGCAAGTAGGTGTGCTGCTGAACTAATGTAAAGAAACCTCTCAGCATAGGTCAATGAGGAATTTAACTTTTTAAACATTTTGTCTGCTTAACTAAAACTAAACCAAACTTGTCCCTGACAGAGACCAGACACTACTTTACTTACTTAAAATAAAAAAATTAAAACCCAAGAGGCATTCTAGGGAGACCAAGAATTACTTTGGGTAAAAGTTTTCCTCAGTTCAGTCAGTTCAGCTCCTTTAATCACACCCTTGGCACAGCAGCTAAGAGGCAGTAAGATACTTCTGTTGTTTCCCCATGGACCAGTTCCTCGGAGAAAAAGGCCAGAAGCCAACCAAGTAGCATGTAATTTTGTTCCTCAACACTTCCCTGGGTACGGTTATGAAATATACCACACAGTGAAGCAACGTTTTGAGAGAGGGGAAAAAAAGTACTATTGATTTAATGTCAGACAGTTAACAAATACGGTGTAAACGGTAACTCAGAAAAGCAAAGGTTTTCACAATGGCATTGCTCTTAAGCTCTACCACAAATAGACCTTGATAAAGTAAATATCCTAGAATTAGTCAGCAGGATCCTTGAAGGGCTGTGCTGTTTTCCTTTATGAATCACCCCCAAATTACACAATTTCCATTATGCCTGTGAAGGCAATGCTACATAGAAGGAAGTGTCACACCCTGGATATATATTAGATAAAGAAGTTGGGTGTAATGCAGTGAGAGCAGTTCCCCAGGCTGATACTACTATCTGTAAATTGTAGATAACGATTCGTCCCTTGAACCATGGACTAAAATGTGATAGTATACGTTGCTGTACACATCTGGAAATGGATGTGCATTTTCCTGTTTTGACTCCACAAAAGAGAACATACTTTTCCTATCTATATTCAACAATTATAAGAGCAATGAATGTAGGTAACCCCTACGTGAAACAAAATTCAAAGTGCCACTACGTAAAGCTAAGCTGAAATACAGAATGAAAAGGAAAAGAGTTAAGAATGGAGTCAAAGAATGAATACACATTGGAGAAGGTTTGAGTAAGGACTTCCTCTGAAGGTGAGTTCAGAGGGAAGAAGTGATGTGTGGACTAAACTGGTTTATGTAAACAAACTGCAGTGATACATGAAAGAGAAACTGTAGAGGTGAAATGGAGCAGAGTTTGATACTAGTTTGCACTGTGGTTTTTATGAACTGCCCATTCCCACAAATCATTCGTATGAAGCTAAAGATACATAAAAACTCAGGATTATATTCTGGGAAAATAACTGCTGGAATAAACTGGCATGTATAATAATCTCAACATCTTTTGAGATTTCTTTTATTTTAATACATCTAATACGGTCAAAACAAGCAAGGTTCTGTTATTTGTTTTTAATGATCTTATACAGCAGGGATCCAAAATAACAGCAAACTGGAATTCCTTAAAGATGACTGATGTATTTGTACACCAAAGTTCTGAGAATAAGGATAGTAATTTCATACTATTAGTCAGAATTAACTTTGTGCAATAGATAAAAATATAAAAGTATTTTCATAAAAACCTAACAACTATTCTAAATATTTTAACTGTGAGGTGTTTCCCCCCTCCCCAATACCAAAACCTCATCTAAACAAGTACGGAAGGAAGTAAATACCTACTATGCACCAGATGACAAAGGACATTTCAAACTTGTGAGGAAAACTAAAAATTGACAGCCCAAGAAATGCAAAAACACACGTTTCTGAAAAAGAGAAATCACATCTTAAATAAACCATTCTATAAAACCTTTTCTACTCCTATTATATGTTACTACATATGGTACATAAAACAGTATTTCCGGACTTTTGGAAGCACAAAATAGGCACAAATGCAATTATGCATCGGCCAGATTCTTCCACTCTTGCTGTCAGTGGACAGCACTTGGTCTGTGTGTGCAGGCTTTTTTCAGCTGTACATTACTAACCAATAGGAACAAAGCTAGCAGAATTTTGTTCTAAAGACTGAGGAATTTTTTTACTTGAGGAAGACAGGACAAGCTGTAGAATACAAGCTACAGGAGTGACTACTAGTGACTAGCTTTAAATCAGATTTTATATAAAACTGAAATGTCAGGCCCAATCTCATATATTGCAAGTTGAACACCATTATAAAGTATTTGATTCATTAAATTCTATGAACAGCAGCAGTTCATGACTTTATTTGTAATAAAATACTGCACTGTATGATCTAACAGCCCTTGTATATTCTAATAACCTCTAGAAGCAAAGTTTGCAAATCTGAAACAGTACCACCACTGCACAATCACTGCAGTAATCCAAACATTTTATTTCCACAGCATCAACCCATTACCATCAGATAATCGTGGAGTCAAGATGTTTCATCAGTCCACTGCTGTCCTAGCAAGGTAGGTTCCTTATTATAAAAGCAGTTAAAACCAGGATGGTTTTGGACAGACAGTAGCAATACCTGAGTTACTGCAGCATAAGACATTGTTTGGTCATGCTTTGGGTACTGGCTCCTTACATTTGCATGTTCAAAACCTGCTGCAAACATGTAAGAAATTGCACAGTATTTTAAAATAACTCCTTTCAGTGACTTGAATGAATATGTGCTTTTCTAGCATTTGTAATAGATTAAGACCAAATGCTGATGAGCTGCTGGTGCTCAGGTAACGAGTGGTTAAGCTTAGTTTGCAGCAAGGCCTCTCCCCGACCATGTTCCAAGTGCATCTTCCTGCAAGCAATACGGAACACATTCATGCCATGCCCTCAAAAACAGGGATGTATTTGTAATACAGAAGCATGTAATTTCTTCCAGAGTTTGGCTTGTAAGAGGAAATGGAAAGCCTATGGGACTCTGAGCTTCTTGTATCACTACTTCCAAAACCAACTGCTCAATTTGTGAAGCTATTGTTGTTGCTAGTAGCTTTTTAGATCCCAAACTATTTAAAAAAATACAGCTAAAAATACATCTCCTAAAACTAAAAATATGCCAGAGGAATACAGAAGTCAGAGATCTCTATTCAGTTATCAATCTTGTGGCAAGTCTTAGCAGGAGCCTGCAGGATGGGAGAGAGATTTACTGTTTGTTTTATTCAGTATGACAGGAAAGGTGACTTTTGATTGCCTTCTAGCCTCCACTATTAGGAATTCTTCTCTTACAGACATGTACCACTGACATGCTCCCATCAGAATCACCATTTCAGGCAAATAACATTTTAAACTGTTAATATTAGATATATACCAAAGGTGGCACCTACCACACATGAAAGCAACAGTTCTCAGTGTCTGCTGCATCAAAATCTGTGTAACCGGGGACAAGTTATGGTGTGTATAGTGAGACATCACAATGCCGGAGAAGAGGATGGCCATGATACCTGTAGATAGAAATGTGGCAGTCAACAGAAGAAGAACAGCTTGCACTCTGCAACTATTTGTGTTTATAGAATCATAGAATGGCACAGGCTGGAAGGGACCTTAGAGATCATCTAATCCAACCTCCCTGTCATGGGCAGGGACGCCTCTCAACTAGATCAGGCTACTCAAGGCTCCATCCAAGCTGGCCTTGAACACCTCCAGGGAGGGGGCATCCACAACCTCTCTGGGCAATCTATTCTAAAGTCTTTATAGCCCTTATTAATGCAAAAGCTTATGAAGCAGTAAGTGGGGTTTCTATTATCATCATTACTCATACCGGTCTTATTCCACTGATCTTACTAGATACTAGAAGATACTGCACAGACTTATACCTGTGAAGGATGTCACTTGAGATGATGGTTATGATTGTGGAAGAATTTAGCAGTCCACTTGAAGAACAAGTACTACAGTAGTTGTAGTACTACAGTACTCCTTATGAGGAAATAGCTGACCAAAATTGACAACATAACCCAGAAAAAATAATTGCAATGCAGATTTCTAGAGGACAGGATGACATGTGGGAGCATGCCTGCTTAGCCCAAAACAAGCTATGTTTAACAGACTAGAAGTACCTGGCTGAAGCTACATGCTTCAGAAGCCATTCTTGAAGGCACTTGAGCAAATTAAAGAGGTTGTCTTTACCAATAAAATGACAAAGAACCTCTATCATCCTGCAAGTAACTAACTAGGAATCTTAACTGTAAATTAATTTTTGTTGTATACCAACATACAGGTTTTTTGGTTATATAATGCTATTGCACTGTAATTCTGTAATATTTTATTATAATTTTTATATTCATAAGCAATATAAATTAGAAATAGAAAGGCCATGTGCTGAGACCCTCCAGAATAATCTTCTCACAAGGCAAAACTTGTTTTTATAGCAATACAAATATTTTATCATATCAAACTGCTTACTTACATTTCATAAAATTTCATTCCCCTACGTATGTGTTGGCCTATACACACATACAGAGTAGTTTTGGATGCAAGTGGGCAGAATGGAATATTTGCACTAGGATTATATATCTTCATTCTGTAACTACCACGATTATAGGCCACATCTTCATGCATATAAAAAAATATAACTCCACTGACATCAGTGAGGGTAGGCTGATACACATTGCTACAGATCCATTCCAAAATATTCACATTAGCTCACATGTACATTTTCAGAAGGTGTGACTTCCTATCTGTAGCTCATTTACAAGAAATATAATCCTGCTACTACTCCTCACAAACTTGTAACATTCTTATATAGTCCAAGTTGTAGAGCAAATATATCTTTTAATGCACTTAAAAATAAAAACAAACCAAGAAAAAAAAAAAAAAAGAACCAAGCAGATTCCCTAGCTATTTGAATTATACTAACTGTTGCATCCCTTCCCACTTTCCTTTGAGAAATGAGACAGGAAGCTGATTGCCTTAAAAACCACTTAAATAGCAAAGGTCAGAGACATCGGGTATCCCACAGAACTGGAATCTGTCTTTGTACTTGATTGTAAAGGATGATGGAAGAAGTTCACCTGTAAGCCTGTTCTCCTGGCCTACAGCAAAACTTCTACCCAGTGTTCAGAGACACATACAACACTCAGTGGTCTCAGCTGATTTCCCCAACAGCACTGAAGGACAGGCAGAAAAAACGGCTCCAGGGTAGTAGGCTGGACATTATCTAAGTTAGCTGACATGGCTGAGATCCACAGTGTGCAGCTGAAATTTTAATTCTGTGTTAGGCAAAGGTAACCGGGGAGAGTACTAGTAATTACGTTGGCTAACTAATTCTTATGAAAACTGTGATTACTTTTTCTATACTTCTATAACATGAAGTAGAGAATAAGTGTTTCTTTAAAGTAAGTCAAAGTTAAAAGTAAGAGCACAGGTTGAATGAGAAAACGTAAAAAAAACAGGCGTGCTCTGAGATACAAATAAAACCTACTCCCTAAATTTATCAAAGAAACTTGCACATACTCATTTGCTGCTCACCTGAGAGTGAGATACCTTCTGCAAGTCCATAAGGAAGGTAAGCAAAGATAATCATCATCCCAAACTCTAGGGAGGGTGTCTTCCTCAAATCAATGTGCTTTAGCACGTACACATGAAAACGTTATGGAAAAAGCAAATTAAAAAAAATTCCAAGAAAACTTTAGATCTGTGTCATTCAATTACAAAACAATGATTATGCTTAATGTACTTATCAACTGAATAGCTAAAAAAGTCTACACATCGGCCTTTGACTCAAGTATGGACAGATTAATTTCTTACAGGGAGTGTTTCTTACAGAAGCTACTGGTGGTAGAAGCGTATCAGAATGGACAGACCTAGAGGCAGAAAAGACCTGCTACTGAGGTACCTATACAACGCTGATAACAACATGCCAAACTGTTTGTTTGAATCTAGAAGGGCCATTTCCCTACCAAAACTATTGCAGAGAATCCACGGAGAATCATTAAATAGTAAAGGTTTTTCTAAAAACAGGTGAGAGCTACGAAAGAGCAAATAAAACCTGCTCTCATTTATGTTTTAAACAAAATAATGCCCTTTTGATATTAAAGATATTAAAACTTACTTCACACTGGTCACAATCGTGGACATTTGTCAAAGGCCACAAGTTCTGCTCTGCATCTCGTGCACAGTTTTGCAGCACAGCTGCCAAGTACAAGCAGATTTTGCCTTGGACATGGTTATTTGCCACACTAAGCATGCAAGCAGCCTCTGTTCAGTCACTAGACTTCTAGTTACTTTCAAAAGGATATGACAGATTTGCAGTAATATTAACAGTGAGGAATATTCCTTCAATCACATCCTTGCCTTCATGCTTAAAATACTTCACCTACCGTCTTTGTTAAAATTCAGAAGATTAGATGCCTGTGACATGGATGATCACATTCCTCCTGGGTCATGAACCAGCAACGACCTTCAATCATATTTATCTGCTGGCAATTAATAAGAGATTTCCTTTGCTGCATTGAAATTTTGCATGCTTAGAGTAAATCCAATACTTTGAGGTACAAATAACTGTAATAGGGCAAATAAGCTGCTTTTCTCTTTGTCTTAATGTCATTTAGATATCAGTGAAAGCAGTGTTGAACATCTGTCTCCCTCTTTTGTTGTGTTGTATGGAATAATTTAAAAGCTTATGGAATCAGGCTGATGACCCAAGAGAGGAAATATGTCTGTCTAATCAAACACTCTGTTCTTGTTATTTACCAACAAAGCGCTTAACAGTGTGTCCCAGATGACATGAGTAACTGTTGTACAAGCCTAGCACAAAAGATTACCTACAGTGAAGTCAGTGTTAACATTAAACAAGACCTGAAAATTAAGAAAGGTGTTTGACTTACACCAAACATCCTTCCTTATCTCAGCAGAGAAGCTTCTGGGTTGTTTAGCAACCAATTCATGGAAGTGGAAGAGGCAAAATATAACTCAAGGTAAATCCAAATAGAACAGTGTCTGTATTCAGCTGCCTGAATACGGTACCCAGGGACAAATGAGCTGGTCTGACTCAAAAGCACTCGGGAAAAGCAGCTTCTTTTCTCCTTTTTAATGAACTGTTCTATGTATGGAAAAAAGGAGCCATATGCTTGTAAAAATGGATCAGTACCGAAATGGAATTAATATATTTTGAATTTACAAAACAATTACCGTATTTTTTAACAGTCCAATGCACATGATAAAAGCTACTATACAGCATTTCAGACCTTAATTACGTTCATAAAAATATGATGCAACTTTTTAATACATACCCATGCACACAAACATAAAACCAAAATGAGCAGGAAAAAATCCTCAGCCAACAAAATAATGTCTAATAAGAAATATCCTCTAAGAAATGCTGAAGAAGATGGGAAAGAAAATACTACTAGAATGCTGACATTCATCAGTTTATACACGTGTATCCCCCAAATTAAAAAAGGATATTAATGCAGAAATGAGGCCAGTAAGTGTGCCAAGTGCTGCAGAGCCAAAGAACATCTTAAGAAAGTATCCCAGTGCCTGAAGAAAAGTTTGCCATCCACTTACATCTGACATGTTTTCTCTTGTCAAACCTTCTGCTGTGCTAGATATAATTAAAAAATAAATAAAAAGAAATGGTTATAAATTCTAAGCCTGGATCCAAAAATACAAAACATCTTTTGAGGACAACGACAAAAAAAGATTTCCATTTCTTTGTTGCTACCACTCTTAAAAGGCTTTTACTGTGATACATATAACAAGAGGAATGTCAAAAGATGTTACATCAAGTCTTAGTGTAATCCCTAAAGGGAAACCTAATTCTGCTAAAAATCTGGAAATCCAGCATTGCTCTTCTGAAGAATCCCCAGAATGGCGTAAATAGGCTATGATAATGCCCAGTATTACAAAACAATTTTCAACCTCTGAAAAGGAAAAGAAAACACATTTTGCAGTGGTAAAAACTCAAGGCATGAAAAGAGACAGATCATGAGATCCTCAGAGAAGAACAAATGAACAGAAAGACCCCCCATCAAATATTTAGGTGTGGATGAGAGACAATAACGTCACTGAAGAAAAACAAAGAAGCTCTTAAGAGGATAGGGGAGAAATCTCTTTGGATTTCAGGAATATATTTCACAGAATTCCATGCAAAGAAGAGATGGATTTTAACCAGTGTTCCATTTGACCGCTCTTAGTTTTCATGGTCTTACATAAACGAACCACAACTGTATTAAAAGCAATCAGTTCATTGAAAAATGACTCTAGCTTCTCTACCTTCTCAGTACATCTACTTCTTGTATATGTTCATAGTGACATCTACTGACTTCAGCAATAACATGAAGAAATATATATGTATTTTTTTTTCACTCCTTTGGCCCCAAAGAATTATCACAGGGAAAGTATAAGGATATTAGATGTTCCTCCCTGTGATAGCCCCAGTGTAAATGTAAAACTAAGGTCCTATTTCATGGACATTGATGTATCCCTCTAGACTGATGTGTGATCCTGGGTATAAACCAATGATACAGGAAACCCAGCTGTGTATTTGGCAAGGTAAATATTTTTTGTGCAAGCCTCAAAGGACGCACGTTGGTATTCTGTTGTCAGGACCTCAGATGGAAAGAGAGCCAGTATGGACACGTATGGACTTATAAAGCAACCAATTATCTGGGGTCAATGAGATAAGGCACTGAGGTACTTGTAAAAGACAGCCATTTATTGTCTTCTGCCTATGCAGTTTATGTTATGGATTGCTTTTAACAAAGGACGTTCATACAAAATTCAGCTTTACACCAAAAATACATGATTTGTTCCAAATGGAGATGGAAGAATTACTGCATATCAGAATAACTAATTAACAGAAAATAACACGGTTGCTGTTTCTGTAAACAGATGTAGTTCGAATGCACTTACTTGGTCAAGACAATAGAGACTGCATCATTGAGAATGCTTTCTCCGAAAACCAACATGTTAAGTACAGGATCCACATTGAGGGCATTGAAGATGGCAATAGTAGCCACAGGGTCAACTGCAGATATTAAAGACCCAAATGCAAAACTAGGAGACGACAAAACAAAAAAAGAAAAGTAGATGAAAGAAAAATATGTACCTAGTAAACTTATATGAACAACTAGTAACGAAGATGTTATGTGTTATAATTTCTACACAGTGAAAACTTATGGTCTCTTCTCATTCATGAGAACTTGAAGTGACAAAAGGGAAGTTTTGTTTTTCATTTACTGATATACCAAAAAGAAAAGTTGTCACCTAGCTGGAAGAGATGTTGGAGAAATACCTATCTCCCAGCTCTCAACAACAGTATCAATGTCTTACTCCAACTAAATGAGAAAAAATTAGAGGAATGGGAAACCAAACAACTTTACAGACAGAGTCCAAATCACGTACCATACATGCATGGTGTTAGCTGTTCAGGAGTACTAGAGAGGAACATCTAAAGGGAAATGCTAAAACTTCACTACTTTGGAATCCAAAGACAGACAATACAGAGGCAATGGGACTGCTCAGCTGTGTAAAGTCAAACAACAGAAACAAGTAAGGAAGATTTTTGCTGTTCATGTATGTTTTACTTGTTATGTTTCTTGCTTGCCTCCCAGCTTATTTATGGATTTTAACAGAACACTGCTGTACTTGGCTATACAATAAACAAACAAAAGTCCCAAATAAACCTGGAACAACCTTTGTTTAACAGTAGGGTGGTGTACTCCTAAAAAACTGATAAGATCCTTTGCCAAGTTCTTGAAAAATCTACATTGCTGATACTGAAAAACTCATTCTGTCTTTTAAGAGAAGATTTGGAGAAGGAAGTTATGCCTTTATCATATATATTAATAATGCCAACTAATCAAGATTTACATATTTTAATTTTAAAGATTGGTTAGTAAAAAAACCAGTATCTTTCTTGTCTAGAAAAATAACTGAGCACAGAATACCATTTGGAAATAAGGGTGTAAAATAAGGTTTAGAAGTGTTCGATCTCTTTATTAGTTTCATATGCCATGTGGAATCTAAGCAATCTAAACAATAACCAGAAGAGCTGGCAAACTACAGTGCATTTCCCATATACAGTATCTTGAAGAGTGCTTCATTTCACACACTACACCGTTTCCCCAAAAGCTTACCTGTCTGTCATGTTGAGTTTATAAATTACATCAGCCTGAAAGAACACGCAAAACATAAAAAAAAATCACAATCAACTGTGTTTTTCTGCTGTTTTTAAAAATGAAACTATTAATCAAACCCTAAGTTTGTTATCATGAAAAAAAATCATCATCACGATGTTACCCGATCTAATGCTGCCCTCTAACAATGATCTGCTGTTACAATTCTGGTCACTCAAAATCAGGGAAGACCAAATGAAACTGGAACAGATACAGGTGAGTAGAGGAACTAAAGCATTTAAAGGAATGGAAATCTGAGAGACAAAGAGAAAAGTATGGATTGCTTGGCCTACCAGAATGAAGTTTGAGAGAAAATATAATTATCTCTGTCTATAGCTAACAAATGGGGAAACAACAAAGCAGAAAAAAAAACCCAAAACTGTTGACAGAAGAACAAGTAAGCCTAATACTGGAAATCAGATGGGTCTAGAGAAGACAGGTACTGGAATAGCTTCCAATAGGAAGATAAAGTAAAAAAAAATACAACTCAGGTCAAGTCTTAGCTGCCTTTAACATGGAGCATGCTCTATCTACAGAAAGGGTTAATAACCTTGCCTCTGTGATAGCAGAGAACTGGACTTTGTGACCCAGGAATTCACTTTCACTATGTTTGTCTGCCCTTGAAAAATTGACTTTCAAAGAGCAAGCTGGATAAATATAAGTGCTTCTAAGTAGTTATTCTTACCTGGCCCAGGAAATAAATTCCTCCACCTACAATGAAAGCTGATATTGCAGTGCCAAATACAGAAAATAGAGTGATGGAACCAATGTTCTGAAAAAAATTACCCTGGAACACAATAATAAAGTAAGCAAATTAGTGAGAATTATCTGAGGGAAAAGTCCTGTTTGGGTCTGCATCTACATTAGATTCTGATTCACAACTGGGTTTCTGATACTAAAGCTTCATTATTTTGGTTCCAAGTACCTCAGGACATCCACTCCATCTGCCTAAAAAGCCTGCTCTCTTGAGGACAACAGCAAACCCCTCCGATACCCAGGACAGGATGTCAGTCTGGTACCCTGACAACAAACCAATCCTCAGATGAACAGCTGGATATTCACCAGCACTTTGACACATTCCCAACCTGACAGAACTGTAAATTAATCCATCTATTGTACACAGCGCATGTGAAAAAGGCTTTAAAGCTCCCAGTTGCCAGTCCATTCCTTAGGTCGTGATTTTGTATGAAGAAATCTTCAGTGACAGTACAAATTCACGGTATTACTACTGCCCAGTGCCCACTGCCTCCCGTGCAGCACAGCTCGAGCAGAAAGGCAGCACACAGGGAGGACCAGAACCACTTCAGCCAGCACAAGCGCTATGAGCAATGCCCATGGAAACACAGGCTCCGAGGCAAAGAGTGAAAACCCTTGTAAAGGTTTTCCTCTTCTTTCGCTATGGAGTGACCTCACCTTTCCCACTTCTGATCCTACTCCTTCCCATTTTACCTCCTTCATATCAGCCCTTGTGCAGCTCTGATGAGGCAAGAAACCTCTCCGACCAAGGAAAACAACCTCTGCGCAGTACCAAGCACCCTGCCAACATTCAGTTAACAGTAACGAGCTACATTCCCTGCATTCTGTGCTGAAGAGGCTTAAATTTTGCATTCTCAATTCCCCAATGATTAATATGATGGAATTTAATGCAATTATTCTAAATTTCATGAAGATAACTAAAAGCAGAATCTGTTCCAAACAAGCGCTCAACAGGTAAAGTGAATGTTTGGCAGAGACTAACCTTGTGCAATGAATATCCAGATTCAAATATAATAGGTGGAAGCAAAAGCAGAAAAAACATGTTTGGACGAAACATTTCTTCCTCCTGCAAAACAAAAATTAAGTATAATTTCAAGGATATCATAATTATTGAAATAACATCAAATCTTACAAAAGGGAAATTATTTTTAAAAATCCAACAGAAATGTTGGAAAATGAAAATGGCACTAATCTTTCTCCCTTCTTATCATAAAATAAAAGACTGAAGAATAGTAAACTACTCCAGAGCTGTTACTTTCATTGTTTTTTCTAACCCAGTGACAGAAATCTAGGTGTTACTTATTTTAAAGTACTATCTCCAAATAAGCTGCACAGAAAACTGGTTATTTCTGGCAAAGGAAAAGTCTTTCTGTTTCCACAAAAAGTATTCCCATTTTATCTCACAGTCTCAAAATCTCTAAGTCTGTCAAGGAACAGTGACCTCTTGGCCACTGGTTTGAATATAATCTAGTTTAATCGTGATCTAGTGAAACTACTTGAAAACTCATCACTTGAGAAGAAATCAGATCATCATCTTAATACACTTGCAAAGAGTCAGATGTTTGATTCCTTCTGGCAAATGTAATTTATGCCTGTAATTTAATGGTACTACTCTGATGGTTCCTTTCTACCATCAGAGTGATATAAACGAATCCTACTGTGAAGTAAGATGTTATATTTCGGTGACCTTACTCTTTGTCACCTATCTCATCACTTGGCTACCACTGCTTTATGGAGTTGTACCCCAAAAATGGTGCCTTTTTTTTTTTTTTCTGCTGGCAGACTAAGCATAGAGGCAAATTCATCCTGGCTGAACATGCCGCTCTCTCTTTACCCACCAGGCTCCCTCCTGGTCCCCGCAGTTTTGAATACAGCAGAACTTGTCACCTTTGTAAGCCACGATTAATTTGTTTAAATCCAGGTTAAACAGCTGATGGACTGTTCTGTTAAAACACCAGCTTTCAAAAAAGAAGTACTCATCTCTTTAAAGTCTCATTCCTGTCTGTACTAGCGATAATCATCTTAAAGGATTTGAGGGACTTAGAAAATAAAACTCATCCTTTATATTGAAATGCTCTAGGCCATTACTCTGCCTGCACAATTCCGTGCGTCGAAGACTAATGCTACCTAGTTCCTGTCATAGACCAAAAAACCCACATACCTGAATAACTTCACTGTTTAAAAGCCCCTGAAAGCAGAGTTGGACAAGGAGGCAAGAAATAATGAAAAGGAAGGACTGCTGTTGTGCTGCATTGAAGCAGAGATCAGGAAAGTAAAAATAACAAGGACCGTGATTATCAGCCATGCTAGCCAGCAAAAATCACCAGCAAGTACAAGGTCCACTGAAGACTTAGTAAGGCATGATTGCAAGAAACTACATTACATACATTACAGAGTTCTTAAGGCAGGGATACGATCCAAGATTTGCTTTGTACACGGATATAGCCTGCAATTCAATATCCTATTTTTTCCATATCAGATAAAACAAAAGTTCTCTTAAATTTAAAACAATTTAAAACCATTTAAAATCATTTTATAAAGTACAGAATAATTATTGATTAGAACATTTCACATCTGAAATTATGACAATCTATGTTAAAGCCTAAGCTTTAATACAGTGAAGGTAACTTAAATAACCAGATAATAATATGGTATCTATGACCCTTTACCTTAGCTGATAATGTGAGCAAACATACCCAGACTCCTCAGTGCCTCCCAAGAATTGACCAAAGCTTACTAGAAATCACTATGTAATTCGCTAGCTATGATCAATATTTCCTGTGTTTATAGAATCAGTGCTCAAATCAGAGCATGTTTTAAGCTTTCTTTTTTTTTCCCTCAATACATAATCCTCTTCAGATCATTTTACTTCGCCAATAAGAAGCTATTTTAAAATGCTGATTTTGTGGGTGTTTAACTGACTTTCAATTTTAAGTCAAATCCAGTTGACACAAATCAGAAATGAAAAAACACTAAATAGTACACCACCCACTGTTTCTAATAAGTAACTAGGTAAAAATGAAATATCACAACATGACTCTTGAACTATGTAATTGCTTAAATAAATGTACACAGAATTAGTGGAGTCAGCTGATAAAAAAGTATAATATTTAATTAAAAAGGCACATCTCATTGATAATCTATGTATTTTACTGTATTTCAACTCAGGAGAAAAAAAAAAATATCTTCCTTTAGGGAAATAACTGCCAAGAAATATTAAGCTGCAAGCTAGGATTAAAATTCACTACTCAAACCAAGTTTTGCAGCTTGATAAGATAAATCCTGTTTAAAACTGGTGATTCAAATCACTGTGATTTCAATAAGTTCACTGATTGAATCCTAATAAACTCTTTGATAGTATGAAACAAAATCACAACTTAAATACTGCAAGATTTTAAATTACAGCAGGAACAGTGAAGAGTTCATTGTTTCGATGATGTGGATAAACTGTAGGAGGCAAAATCCTTGCTTCACCGTAGACTTCACCTCTTGGAGACACTTCTGCCAGGACCGTCCCTCCCTGGGGAAGCCTCTGTAACTCCACACATGCACAGATAAGACCTCAAAGCATCATACACTAACGCACGTTGGAGTGGACTTCTGAAGGTCGCTGACCCAAGCCCTTGCTTAAAGCAGGGCCAACTCAGAGCAATTTTGGCTGCTTGAGGCTTTGTCCAGCCAAGTTTTGAATATCTTCGGGATGGAGCTTCCCACAACCTCTCTAGTCACATTTTTCTACGTTTGGTTACCATCACTGTTAACATATCTGAGTTTGTAATGCACAAAGCGCCAGGGCAAGGACAACCTTCTACACAGCAGTTTTGCCTGTATCTTCTGCTGGAAAGAAAGCCTGTATCATGCTTCCATTGTCTCAGCCAGCATGAAAAATGCTTCAGGCACACTGGTTTAGGCAGTCTTTGCACAAGAAGCAATGGAATATCCAAGAAACTTGCTATGCTTAATGGATTGCTTTGTGAATTGTCTCATAGCACCACAATTTGTTGCAATGTGAAGTATAAGTAAATAAAATAAGTAAATAACATGACTTCTAGCACAGCTACTCTGAAGAAGTGTTCCTTTTACCTCTGTGAAATCTACGTTAACATCTTCAGGTAAAATACGTGACTTTACAAGCCATCAAACCACGTTTTTTTTCTACAAAAACACCTACAAAATTAACTCTAAAAGGAGGAAGAGGACTAAATACAGTCAAAAACTATACAAGATGAACAACTGCATTGCTATACTTTTCACTGTAACTGATCCCAAACATGCCCAGCACCACTTTCTATCATGTATCTAATAGGAACAGATTTGGTACCATAAAAAGGATTACTCAGTGAAAAATATATTATGTAGAAAATGTTCAGCAAGGACCTCAGGTAGGTTGTATTATTATTAAAAAAAACCCAAACCTTGGCATAAAGTATAATGTACAGTTTTTGGAATTACCTCTAAAGAAACCAGTATTACAAACAATCTTATTTTCAACATTTAAGGACTGTTCTACAATCAATAATGAATTGATTCAAATATACCTTCCAGTTGGCCAGCTTTTGAGCCTCTATGATTTTTATAAAAGCTCCCATAAGGATACCTAGGAGAGAATAAGATAACATTCTGAAATATTCACCAAACACATCACTGCTTCCATTAATTCTTATCAACTCTCAGTCAACAAGGCAAAACATAAAGCAGCAAGTCTTTCATTCCTAAATCACAAAAGCACAAAGTGGTTTTGGGTCTGATATATGACCGTTTCCAACACGTTACACAATTACACTGCTTCCCTGCACAAAAGATTGCCACTTGAGATATCTGAATACTGAACACGCATATTTAGAGTGCTGTGTTCATTGGTTCCTAAAGGTAACAGGTTTAACTACTCAAAACCACTTCTCATCTAAGCTGCATTCAAATAAAATTTGGCCTTTCTTGCTAAAGAATCAGGAAGTTACGAGTTAGGTAACTGTGTGATGGCACAAAATCTTCACGTCACTTTAATATTTTTTGCAGTGTTAACACAGATTAAGTAAAATCAGCCTTTCCCACAAAAGTGAATTTTTTCCCAGTGAAATCACAGCACTTACTGGCAATAAAGTAGGCAACAAATTCTGATCAGGGTGGAGACACTGTCATAACTATTTCCCAAATGAATTAACATCTTTTAAGTCATGTAGAAATACTAATTTGGGAATAATTTTACCAAGGGTCTGCAAACTAAATGTTTAAAGGTTATCGTGCTCTTTCCTCCTACCCATCTTCAAACAAGTAAGACAAAAAACTCCAAACTAACAAGATTTCTTCTGGAAATCATGAAGATGGTTCATGAACTGTCATTAATTGTTTTCAAGGAGTTATGAGGAATTTGTCTTTAGTTAGATTCCAGATCTGTGTTTCTGCATAGTTGTGTTTTATTATTTACAGAATGGAGACTTAATAGTCAAACACTGGCATGTAGAAGTGAAAAACACTGAATAAAAGGTAAAAAATGGCTGAGAAGCTTAAAGCGTGCTTTCCTGTTACTCAAGTGTTTTTATTCTCTCATGCTGTAGCTATCAAAAGAGTCTTACAAACAGCATCACATGGATTACTCCTGACGGATGTGTCATACACACAAAGCCATGAGGCTTAAGCCTTCTTTCATACAAAAATATGTGAAGGCATTGGTCCCAGAGGATAGAAATAATTGTTCCATGAAATGGTTTATACGCAAGGGAAGAGCAAAACATCAATGAAGGAACATCAAAGGTTTGCTGTTCTTTGAAAGAGGACAGAATGCAGATACAGCCACTCACATGCCACACAGAGGTCTCAGTACTAACAGTCAGGCTTTCCATTCTGGGATGGAAGCTGTGTCAGAAGCCAAGGACTAGAACATTTCTAATTTTTGCAGACCAGTCTTCAACTGGTACAGGCAGTACTTGTATCACTTCACAAGAAGTTTATGCGGGGGAAAAAACATCACAACAACTAGAGCCTATACAGCTAAAGGCACAGACTTCAGGAGTGTACATCCTGAACAAAGTTTCAGTATTAGATGAATTAGTATTGAGAGTTCTCACATAAAACTATGCTTCAAGGGGATTTAAAAGAAAAGAGAATCCTTTAACTCACTTCTGCTGAAGTTGAAGGGCTTCAGTGCCACTTTGTGAAACTGGACCCCTGTGAGTAAGTCAACCATGGCCTGTGGGCTACAAGCTGGGCATTTCTATCCTATGAGCTCAAGAAGCTTAAGTAAAAGGTCAGTTTCAACCTCTTTTTTAGAGGAAGAGCTAATCACAAACTGACCCTAACAACAGTGTCACTGACAGACGAGGCCCTTTTATGGTATCAAAATTTAAATGAACAATATAAATGTAAGGCAGCAGCAGAGGTTAGGGGAAAAGGATGAGCTCGAATCACACAGCTTACACCTTTACATAGCAGAAGTTTCTTCTAGTTGCGTATTACACACAACAGTGCTACTAAATTAAGATTATGCTAAGGAAAGTCATGAAAGAGAGCTGCACAAAATAACACATCACCAAGACAGTTTAATAGCAGCAGAATCACACTTTGATGCTGTTTTTAAAACCTCACACATCTTTACAAACTACTCTTCTTTTATTACTAGATCAATGAAAGCAGTTTTTGTTCAGCTGGTTCCATCTATTAAATCAGGCAAATCAGTTTTGTCAAGGGGCTAACTGGAAAGCTAAGTCTGTAAGAGCTAATCTAAACCTCATTCTTTTGAAGATGTTAAAGGTTGGTTGTAATAAGAAAATTCCTGTATTTTTCCTGAGAACTTCTTAAAATTCAGTAAGGAAACAAAAAGAAAAACTTTTCTGGCAACTATTTTACCAACAAAATTCCAGTAACTTTTAAGGACGAAGATCAAAATCCAGTCTTAGAGAATACACTCCTGCCCTGTCCACCAGGAGAGTAACATGCCCTAAAACAGAAGCTTCTGAGCATCTTAGACAACAGGAGGAAAAACAGTTGTGAAAATCATACTTATCTTGTCTGCTGCCATTTCTATTAGCTTTCAATAACTGCCTGAGAACGTTTGCGTAATTTACAAGTCAAAATAGGACACACCTCACTTCTGGCACTGCTAGCAAAACTGGATACTTGAAACTCAAGCTGTGCTCTTGCAGCTGTGTAGATCATTACCAGTAACAGAGGTTCACTGACCAGCAATTAGCTGGCAATTCCAACGATTATACAGATACCACATTCTGTCAACAGAGCTGACAGTAATTTAAATATGACTGAGTCAATAAACTAAATAAATAAGGCTTAAGTGACACAGGACATCTGTTAGCTGGTTTGCTACTGGGTATAACACTCTCTTGACTTAGCGGAATTGCATTTGCTGGAACCTTGTCTGGTTTAGGAGACAGACTACAGCTATGCTATGGTTTACACCAAAAAACGAACGGTGCAAGTTTCCTACATACCCTCTGTGTGAAAATACAAGAGAGGCACTGCTCCTTCTTACCCATCTTGAGTAGCAGTGACAGCCCCAGCATGGAAACTTACCAGTTCCATGAACAAGCATTTGTTGGGACTGACAAAAGCACAGGACATACCAGCACAGCTAAAATCCTTGTCCAGCTCCTGAGATGCCAAGAACAAGAAACAAAAAGAGAAGAATGTCTGTGCTCTGCTGCTCTCTGCAAAGCTCGGCAGAAGCAGTGCTGCAAGCTTGCCTGACACCTCAGCTCAGCACTGCCCCAACTGCCTTGGGGCAGAATCTAAGGAATGATAGTGAAGAAAATCCAAAACTATGCCAGCAAGAGCAATCAATATACTGCATTTTAAATTAGGGATTATGCCTAATTTTAGATTAGCTATTTAATAACAATGGTAACTAACCTGATTAGAAGTCAAATTAACATATTTCACCTGGATATTTGTGTACAAAGAGGAAGGATACTGAAGGGATAGTAATGTCCTTTAGGAACCTTTCAAAACCCTGGAAGACATACCACACAAGACACCTGTCCAAGGCAATAATGTAAGAAGGGAAGGAAAGAGAAGTGTGTTGATAGTGAATCAAACACTGTATGGTTTCCATGGGGATGACAAAGTCAGTCAGGATCATCTGCAGCAGCTCTCATCTTTCCATGTCATACTATGGTAGACAGAAGCATAAACACACAAAAGTCCGACGGACGCTGCTCCTATAAAGATGAGGTGTGTGTGCAATATCCAGGAAACCCATACCAGAACTATGACAGATTTCTTCCAGGTCTATTCGTTTTTCAGCTGCACAGAAATATCAGAACTCAAACAGGGCCTTGCAAGTGAATGTCTCTAAGTTTCAGTATCTTCTACTATGCCAATAATGTGATGTGGTCTGCATCAAATAATTATCTAAAAATTCAGGCAGTCACGCCTGCAGAATTGTATGTTTTTCTTTCCACTAACAGCTCTAAGATGTTCTCAATCTAGCACTCAAGATGCAAAAAGATGCCTGTTTTCCAGAAAGCATAAGCTACTGACAAGCACCAGAAAGCTTACTTCCTCCCATTGACAAATTGTGCGAAAATACAGTTAAGAAATATGAAAGAAGAATGTACCAGAGAGTACAGCAGGCAAAGCCCAGCAGAAAGACAAAAATCTACCTGCTCAACAAATATTACACTCCTCCACGCTACGTTAGAATTACAGGTAAGCATCTTTCTCTTTTTTGGTGTATTTTTAGAATGGCTGTCAGTGAAAGCGTCACTAGTAATAGAAGCAAAAATATCACAGATTCTTGTAAACAAGTTACAGCTGAAAAACTGTTGCTGGGATTAGTTAGAGCACATTCTTTAAACATTATGCTAGACAATATGTAGAGAAAATGATAAATGTGTTTGGCCTGATTTCCTCCTCATTTGCACGTTTACATATCAGGAAAAGCAGCACACAAATAAATAGAATTATCCTAACATAAAACTACAGGCTTAGGAATACTCCAAATTTAATTCAAATTAAGTAAGCACTTGATCTTCATTAAGGGTGGCATTCTTCTAGCTCAAGTCACAGGAAGAGCTCATGTCATGGTACCACAGGGATACTTAAGTGTCTGGCAGTCCAGGCAAGTTTTCAGGATACAATTACAGTCCCCAGCTAGATTAAAATAACATACACAGACATAATTCTACCGAAGCTAATACAAACCCATGTACCACTTCAAAGGGGAGGCCAGAGTCTCGCTGCCAGGGAGTGCTGCAGTATCTTGCCCTACAGTGCAGATGCAAAAATAGAGGAAACTGCCAAAGTACCTAGGTAGTGACACCCTTATAGTGCCTGTATGCGCCATTTTACTGAGCCAATCTCTGTACATATTCTTGAATTCTTCTATTAATTTAATTCTATTAATTGGTTGTTTTCTTCACTGCATCCAGTTTGCTGTACCTTTCTAGTGATGCTTAACACACAACAGAGCGTTATTTCAAGTACAGACACCAAGAGTCCCTGAATTAACACAAATTCAATATAAAAATGTCATGATTACTCACCTAAAGAAACAACAGCTACGCTCTCTGGTAAAAAATGAAGTCGGTATTTTATCAGTAAATGCACCAATATGATGCAGATAGCTGTGAAGGAAAAAAAAAAAACAACAAACAAAAAAACGTAGATTTAGAAGTGTTAGAAGAGAATAAAATACACTTTTACATAGTATTTCTAAATTACATGTAGCAAAACTTCTTCTGATTTAGTAGAAATCCACAAATGCAAGAATCCAAATTTTAGTTCAAACCTAATTCTCACTGAAGTACATAAATAGATCTACAAATGACAGAAAATAACTAAGGCAAATTCTAGGACTTAAAATTATATTCTAAAAATACTAGTATTACTACTTTTAGAGCCTGATTCAGCTTACAAAAAAACATTCTCTGAGTGGTAATGGTAAAAAAATGTCAGTTATACAGAATACACTGTTTTAGTAACCTTTCTGGTAAACATTTTGTATTTTTGAAACAAAACATACATGTACACGTGGCCTCAATTAAAATTTCAAAGCTACATACTTTTCCATCTGAGTGACTCTGAGCGGATGGGCTTTACCCAGAGGGATAATCACAGAATCAGAAAAATTTACATTGGAAGTGATCTCTTGGGGTCATCTAGACCAACTTCCTGCTCAAAGCAGGGCAAACTTCAAAGTCAAAGAAGGTTGACCAGAGCCTTGTCCAGTCAAGATTGAAAACTTCTGAAGACGAAGAAGTCACAACCTCTCTCAATCTCACTTTCAGTGCTTAGGCCTCATGGTGAAGAATTTTCTTCCTCTCTCCAATCCACATTTCCCTCGTTGCAACTTGTGATTGGCTTCTTGTTCTTTTGTGCACCTCAGAAGAGTCTGGCTCCACAGCCTCCCTAAGTGCCATTCAGTGGGGCTATGAGGCTGCAGAACAGGTAAATGCTTAAATATCCTGGTTCTCATAACAAGCATCAGCCAAATTCTTATCCAAATTAGCAAGAGATATTCACTGCTAAGTGTTGCTATAATTTAAACTAGTAAGAGCAAAGGACCAGTGTAGAAAAACACAAAACAGATTTGGCTTGAAGTTAAAAAGAATTAGAATTTGAATCTGATGCAACATTCACTTATTGTTTTTAAAAAGTCAATTTCGTACTGTAGTAATGTATTTCACCCAGTAGGGAGAAAGTCTGTCTCACAACGAAAACGAAGGTCACAGTAGTAAGAAAATCCCATCACAGCCTCTACGCCAATGGTAAAGGCAAATTACAAGGGATCTACAGCAGATCTGGGTATCATCTATGGACATGGTTGGAAGACATCACTTGACTCTTGGAACTACTACAGATGGGAAACTTCTCTATAAGAATCAAATAATGCTGGATTATTAAATTCCTAAAAATGTTGATCTGAATATTCCCCATGTTGAAAGTACCACGATTCTTCTCCCATTTTAATTTAGATCAACAAAGGGTCAAAGAAAGAAACAACATCTGACCTGTGCGTCTGCAATACATGTATTTGGCTCTAATTGCTAACAAATCACCCTGCCGTGGCCTGGGAAATAAACAGTATTACTGCTCGCATTTTGTCAGAAAGCAACTGAAGCTCAAGTGAAGTCAGTAGCATTTTATATACTGGAATCAAACTGTTAATCGCAGCAGAGACTGTTTTCTGTGTATTTCACAAATCTACTCTCTACTGCAAGGGGAATCTTCTCTCACCTCACTCTGTGCCTTGTGTCTGTGACTCTCACTCTATTTCGTTGTGGACAGCACAGTGCCAGGTGACACAGCACATGTTTTGAACTCGGGAATGAACTAGCTCCTCGGAACTGCTCTTAGTGATTTGGTTTAACATCTCCTTCTAGTTAACTAAAAACCAAACAGCCACTTGCAAATGGTTTGGAAGAACGCTTTCAATTTACTGCCAAAGAACAAGCAAAATGGTCCAGAAGTAATTCTGAGCACTGGCATTGTTTGCTGGATCACTTGTGAACTACTAGGGTCTACAACATGATCTGTACTTACTATACAGTATCACAAAAAAGAAGCACAAACCTCATGAATAAAAACAGTTTTCATCATCCTGCTCTCCAATACGGTGCTAGGGAATGGGTGTAACACTGATGTTTGTATTCCTCCACTTGCTATCTCGTACACGCAGCTCACACACAACATGGTGAGCATGTCATTGATGTGCATCTGAACAGATGGATGGGCTTACAAACTGAGCAAGAACTCATGAGCCGTAACAGTAATATTTGCTTAATTACTGGCACATAATTTGTTCAGGGCCAAAGCTGTGGGTTCGGAGTGATGAGGAGGGATGGCTCCGTTCATGAAGACTGGCAGGGCTCCCTTCCCCACATATCCACCCCACTAATCTTTATGATATCGATCAATCAGTTCTCAAGACACCTGAGTTTACAGTACAGTATTTTAATGCAGACTCAAACTGGTGTTTACTTTAAAATGCTGTACTAGAAACTGCAGCAGTTCAGAAGCTCACTAACAAGCAACAATTTGGCTGCCAACTGCCAAACAGACTATGGAAGCAATAGCTTCACCATGTATCCCAAGCGAAGTTTTTATTCACCTGTCAATCAGTACAATTGAGTTTTGTATCAATTTCTTGCTTGTTAAACATGAATAATATACATCCAGTAAATACATTTAGGATTACTGTGTTAAAAGCATTCTATACTGCTCTTTGGGATAGATCCATAAAGGCATCTGCATATTATGGATTTCCAGCAAACTCCAATGCAAGCACAAACATGCTTTCTATTCAGCAGATCTAATCATCAGCTCTTTTCTACCAGCTTTTGACTACTTTGCTTTGGACAAATAAAAAAAAAAAAAAAAAAGCAACCATAGTCTAAGAAGTGACTCCTACCACCATAATTATTGCAGCCTGGTATATCCTTTAGCTCTTGGCCACCTATTCCTTGTGTAAGACTGCTCAGTTTCTATCTGGCAGCACATCATCTGCTCCAGGCACTTGCACATATCAGGAGTATAACAGTCAGGCAAGAGGCTGGAAAAAGCAATGCTCTGGACAGGCTAAAAGAACATTTGAGTGTCCCCTTAAGGAAGAGCACAGTAAAAGCATATAACAACAGAAGGGAATTCATGGATCACATGAACATAGGAGAACAGAGGTATGACTTTGAAAGCGAAGTGGTGTTTGAACAGATAAACAAGTCATAGAAATCTGGGGTCAGAGACTAACTCATGCTACTTCAGGCATTTTAAATTTATGGCTTGGCTTTGACACAACACAACTCAGAACAGATCTGTTTCCGCTTGATAAAGATGGCAAAGACAATTAAACATGCTGTTTGCACTTTCAAACCATGGCGAAAAGGTCTGCAATGGTCCTTAGCTTGGGAGGTTCAGGCAGTTACATATCCAACTTTTTAAGTCCCTGTGTCTGTACAATATTCCACATCACAGAGAGAAAAGCAGAAACAAAATAAAATGCTATGATTTTGAAAGTTAACCTATGTCCTCAGATACAAAGTACGATTAACAGAGATTAAAAGAGTTTCAGATCATCATTCACCTAAAACAAGAAGACTAAAAAAAATCGTCATGCCACTAGATTGCTCCTCTTGCTGTGCTTGGACTCCAGTCTGAACTGGAAGGATAGGTTTAGCAGGTGTAGGTACCACCAATTTGGTAGTAGCAGCCAGCGTAGTGTGGAGGGTGACATTGATGACTTCATGGGTGGCATTTGCAGACCTGGCAGGATAACACAATACGTGATTATACTGGATGGGAGCGGCATGATAAAGACTTAGCCTACTAAAGACAAGCACATGTGAAACAACCACCAGATCACACTGAATTTGTACTAGTGACCGACATGTTACGGTTGCTTTTTAAAAGCGGTCTCTGATCACAGACACATATTGGAAGTTCAGATTGATGGAGCTGATTATTGCAGAGTTCCTTCGTGCACTACAGACACCAAACATTCTGCATTGCAGCTTGGGATGCAGGTGAAAGCCCGACACGCAGAGAATGAAGGAGCCTATTTAGCCGGACGAGTGTAACGACCCCACTGTATCAGACCGACGGCACCCGCAGGGACGGCGGACT